AAGGGGGGGGGGGGGGGCGCGTTCTCATTTGTTGCTTGCCGTAGTCATTTGACCATTGACCACGCGTCCTCGAGAGGACGGAGCATTGTTCCCACAGGACCGATCACCGATGGCCGATCGTTCCTTCCTACTTTGCCAAAGGTGGCTCAAAAATGTCTTCCCTAGTCTGTCTATCCTAACGATATCCCTTCCCGCCTTTTCTCACCACTTCCTACTCCCCAGTACAGCTACCGTCCTCTCCTCTCTATTCCATGCCTCATACATCTCCCTGTACGTCCCTTGTATTTTTCCCAGCTCAGTCATGTACACTTCCCTCTCCTCTTCGTACCACGGACACGGGGGGGGGGGCGTTGTTGCTTTTGTTTTTAAGTCTTGACGCCACTATTTAGTGGCCCATCGTGGTGACGATGGACCATCGTGCTCGTCTTTGTAGTAGGGGGATTCTGATGTTAAGATTGCCGTTGATGCTGCCGCGTTAGACCACGTTTTGTTTTTCCCTTGTTCTCCCTTGTTGCCGTTGTGAGAGGGGGAAGGTGAGGGGCGAAAAGGCGTGTCTGTCTCTGTGTAGACGAGGCTCAGGTTGCCTTTCACCCTTTCTGTCGTTGGTCGTGACTTTCTAATGCTGAAGCGCCGGCCATATTTAGAGATGCTCTACCGCCCACAACAAGCTGAACACGTTGCACGGCGGCGATACGGTTGCCTGGACAGGAACAATGCCCACAACCACTGCCAGACAGCAATACGCGAGTTTGATCTCTCTCTCTCATGTTGCACCTACGCCACCATGTTGTCCGTTTACCCATCCTCCCGCCACTCACCTTTCAATAGACCGTGGCTCTCTCGCCCACTCCATGTATTCCAACTTTATGACCCCGGGTCATATCTACGCGAAAATGTACACCGGGAGTTTGGCACCACATGAAATGGGACGAACAAACACACACTGACGACTCTGGTGTTGCAGACCGTTCCGTGGCAGGGCCGCTACCGCGACTGCAGCATCGGACGCCGCTAAGGCGGCGAGGACGGCGGCGGAGGCCGCGGAGGCTGCCCAAGAGCCCACCCACGTTCACACCTACCTCCTGTACGTGCTGGGCTCCGCGATGGGCCTGAAAGCGGCGTGCACGATGCAGAGGGTTCTAGTCTACACCAGGGAGTATCACGAGCACAAGACGTTCTTCGCGATCGCTAGGTGAGAGACCGGGGGGGGGGGGGAGGGGGGGGGGGGGGGGGGGAACCCAAAACGGGGGGGGCGGGATCCTTTAAACCTTTGCCCCCCCCCCCCCCAAAAGGGGGGGGGGGGCCCCCTGGGGTTTCCCCGGCCCCGGGAACCCAAAAAGGGGGGGGGGGTTCCCCGGGGAAAAATGGGGGACCCCCGCTTTTTTTTTGGGAAATTAAAAAATTTTGGTTTTTTTTTGAAAACTTTTTTTCCCCCCGGGGCCCAACCCCCCGGGGGAAATTTTTGGGAGGAAAAAAGGGGGGGAAAAAAATT